GAGCCCCTGCATCTTCTGCTGCTGCCGCAGTTAGGGAGCCTAGAAGCTGCCACTGCCCAGCCCGAATGGCGCCAGTGGTTGGTAGGGGGGGGGTGGCTAGTAGTAGTAGTAGTAGTAGTAGTAGTGGTGGTGGAATAAGTAAGTGGTTGTCGTTGCTGTGGTTGTTGTTGTTGTTGTTGTTGTTGTTGTTGTTGTCGTTCTTGTTCTTGATTTGTGCCTCAGCAATACTGAGCCAGTGACTAAGCAGTGTGACACAGCATTATTGAGCGATAACTCAGCAGGGTGACAAGAAAAGGCCCTGACTGATGAGGTCAGAGGCTGTACGCATCTGCATGATTCGTTGTTGTGCTGTCATTCGAGTCGTAGTGGTAGTGGTGGCGGAAGTGCCCCAAACAGGTCGTCTCGTGAACCCTAGACACGCGAGCGGGGAGGATAATGGACAGTAGCACATAATCTCGTCATTAGTCAGCTTCACTCTGCCATCGGTGGCTCGGTCTATTTCCTGGAACTTCACAGGTGCGAAACCACGGAAGTGACGGGGTGGCGCGTTGACATCCCCAAACCAGCAGTCGCATCGGTCGACTTTTAGTGCTTCTGCAATGGTCACACCATGGCTCCCGCTGATCCCGATGCTCCGGCTAGATGAGTCTGCGGCTTGCCTATAGTTCCCTCGCCGGTCTCACGTGAACGCAGAGATCAGAGACAGAGCTGACGTGCTCTGATGCTGATTCGAGGTCGATTACGGTGAGTGGTTTGGCTGGCGAACTATGCACGCTGAGCGCAGGGAAAGATTGGACCTTGAGGCCACCTGAATAGTAAGGGGAGGAGTGTCGCTCGTAGCACGATGCTTCGTGGTGGACTCGAGATGGCAGCTGTGCTCCGCGAGCCGTTCCCGGGAGGATGATTAGCCGATGTATGATCATATCGAGTTTGAAATTTTGCACGGGGTGAGTTGCAGAAGAATCATGGTGTGCTGGAAACACAGCCTGACATGTGGGTTTCTCGTGTCCGATAGGCAAGACTCGGTTGTGCTGTGGCTCTGGTTTCGTTTTTCGATCGACTCTTGTTGTTGCATGCCCGTGGTACAGGCAAGTCAAGGATTCGATCGAAGAGGCCACTACCATTCCGCGGGCGTGCCAGCAACTTCTATGGAAAAGGCCACAGACTGCAATAGTGCAGTCACAAGTCACTCCTGTGCTGCGGGATTGCCTTGTAGATGTGAGAATCGTAGCCGTAACGACGACCAGGCAAGTTTTGGTCGATGATCTTCAATGTCTGGGCTGCCGCTTGGTGAGGTTAAGCTCACTTCATGAGGCATGCTCATCGTCCATGAGACAGGGCAGGCAATGTGTGGTTGCTGTATTTAGCTGTCAGCTTCAAACATTGAGTGCGTGCTAGCGAATTTTGCACGTAGCAGAACTGCCAAGCTGCCCTTACACGGCCACGTAACCTGACGCAAAGTTCGACAGATTGCTGAATTGCTTGTGACAGTTTGCCCACGCTATGGCTGGCTGTGGCACCCCTGATGTTTGATGTCAAGAGCACCGGCTTCTGACCTTGGAATGCTCCTGGCAATATGTTTTGTCCCGGGCGCATATGCCTCGCATCGGGTCTTCCACCAAGACAGTGGCTTCATGCGGCTGCTGCCTCACATGGTCAGAGCATACGAGTTCTTTTTTGGAGCCTTGCGCAGCCATTCAGTGCACGCTCTTGACTATCATCATTTCTCATTCGTTGTCGTAGCACACAGATTGGCTTGAACTGCCCTTAAAACCTAAGGAATGTGCTGGCTGACTGCTTGGCAAAAAGCTCGCCGCTGCTAAGCTTGCAGCGTGGCTTTCGATGCGAGGCGGAAGTGTTGCGCTGGGAGCGCCGCCGTGAGCAGGTCAAGGAGGCGAGACACGTGCTGTAGCACACGTTCGGTGTAAACCTGCACAGTTCAATCCAACCCCCACCCTGCCATGAAGTTCCACATAGTCGCTTGCGAAGGTATTGCAGCAACCGCGCATTCTAGCTGCGCAATCTCCGTACGCGTTTTAAACAGTTCGATTTGATACAGAGAAGGCTCCGATGCGCGAAGAACCCAGACAGGTCATGAGTATAAAACTGTACTTGTTTACCGAATGACCGCTGCGAAGAATGTCACCTTTCAATAGTCCACGGACAGAGGCTGGGCCCCTGAAGCATTGACAAATCTGACAGCAACTCATATAAACTGTTCTTTGTTCGGATCTTGACGTCCTGGTAGTCTTCATCTAGCAGAGCAGCGCAGAAAAGCTCCATGATGCTCCATGCTATGCTCCATGCAAAATCCATGACCGTTAGCAGCTAGCTTCATAGGACCTCTAGGACTCTAGGAGAGGCAGGACCAGAGAGCCGGCACTTGTGAAAGTACACGGAGGTGTTTTCAAGGCAGCATATCTGATGCACACAGACCCCGCAGTATCGACCCCTTGTCAACGGCACGCCTGCATACAGTGTCCACATTCGATAATTCACTCGCAGCTCTGAAACAGAACCGCGAACATGAGTAGGCAAGGCTGCGATTCGAGAGTCTAGAGCGGAACTTCGTGGCATTAGTCCGGGCACCACCCCGGAAAAGTTGCGGATCCCCACGCTCACAAGATTGGCCCGTGGCCATTCCATGTTGCAAAAGCGCCCAGACTGTGTTCTTTAAACTGATGCGCCTGGGAGGAGATTCTGCGGCATGATGCAGACATCGTGGGACTCTGCGAAGTGGATCATTTTGATGATTTCTTTGAGCCGGAGCTTGAACGAGCCGGCTTCCACGGAACATTCAAGCGAAAGCGCGCGGTTCTTAGCCCTCTGTGACCCTTGTAGTAAGCCATAGTTTCATGCGAGCGGTGCGGCACTGGAGATATGCGACATGCCCAATAGCAGGCAGTCCAGCTAAAGATGGAGTCGCTGTGTTCTGGAGAGCAGACAAGTTCGAAGAAGGTGTGCGGCGCACGATCTTTCTGGAGAGACTTGGCTTTCCATGAATCAAGCATTCGTTCGTCACGAAAAGCTTCCGTCAAAGTTTGTTGCATTCATGCATGCTTATGGTTGCTTGGCAGCCAGATCGCAGGTATGGCCGGCAGCGCACCAAAGCTGCGCAGGTAGCAGTGCTGCAGCGCTTGTGGCCTAGGGATCGGCAGACCGGTAAGGGCAGTAAGGGTATCGTGGTTTGCGCGGTGCACTTGCGGGCATCAGCTGACGATGGCTTCCGGGTGCAGCAAGCGTCTGCACTGATATCGGCTTTACAGGACTTCTCCCGGGACGACGAGCAGATCATCCTGGCAGATGTCAACAGCAAACAGATGATGGGGAGCAGCCGCACAGAGATCGCAAATGTCTTCGACTACTTTGCAGCTTGCGGCTTTGAGTGTGCATACACAGATCTCGGGTTACAGCATGGACACAGGATCCCCAAGTACACAACTTGGGCCGGCTGGGCATCAGGCGATTTCAAGGCTACCTGCGATCATATCTTCGTGTCTAAGGGACTCCATTCTCAGGCTGTCCTGGATGTCCCCGATGCAGACGAACTTGCTGAAAACTTCCCGGAGAGACTACCAAATGAGTTTTTCCCGTCTGATCATATGAGCTTGATCGCCGATTTAGTAATTCCTGACAGTAGGCCTGTCTGACAGCTTGTGCAGCCAAAGTTGCTGCTCCTTCGCGAAACACTTCGCAAGGGCCTTTGACCAGGAATTTGCAATGTCTGATTGGATTACTGCGCTGAAATGCCATGGGCAGTGGCACAGCCCAACTCAAAACACTTCTGCCTGATTTTGAGGCCTGGGATCTGGCAACTTGGACCTGACCCTGCTGCAGCGAAGTCCTGCACAAGCACAACTGCTGCATTCATTGCACCTGAGCTCGACCTGGGAATCGCGGGGCCAGAAAGCGCAGAGAGGGCGGCCGAACTCGAGGCAGAATGCGCGCCCATATCGTGCAGGGCTGCTGCTATATGCCGCTGCAGATAAAGGCGTCGCCTTCGACAAGGACTGCTGAGCTGCACCTCGCAACATGCGCACTGCGCCTTCGGCGGTGTCTTTCCGTTCTACTCTGGCAGGAAATCGTATTGGCTGCCGTGCGCAATGACCCTGACGTCTTAGACGCTTGGTAGTGCAATGTAGTACAGACACATTCAAAGCTATACTGAAGTTGCTCCAGCAGAAGTAGACCTTGACTGGTACAACCCGGGTGAAAGCTCAGGACGACTTGGAGCCAGGATGGAAGGCCTTCGGTCGATGACTGTCATGGAACACCTTCGGATTTTCTTGAGATAATTCCCAAAAATGCTTCGCCTGCGTAGGCAGACCGTGATGTGGTGGCAACGTCGATTCAGCAGACTGGATCAGCCTTGCGGCATGCTGCCGTGGAGATGCGCGGCGACCGCGAGCTTGTCCTGAAGGCGTCCGTTGTCTGCCGACACTGATAAGTACAGGTGGACACGAGTCACTGGATTGTGACACGACCTGGGGTGTAGTCCGTATTTTCCTGCACTGGCCTCTTTCTCTGCATAGCTCTCTGTGGCATCACTTCTTCCCACAGTATCCCACAATTTATCCGCGCCACAGGCAGTGCGGCAGGATGGTGATGCGCTGCAGCACCACGAATTGCGTGAGCAGGGCGGGCCGGCCAGCATGAATATGAGCTGTGCCAAGGTATGCCAGCGATGTGCTTCGCCAAGATTCGGACGTGGTGCTGCTAGCAGCTTGCTTTGACAGCTGAGCCCACTTCTCGAGGCCATCAGACCGCCCCCCTCCGAGGCTCTCGAACGAGGTCCCACAGCTTTTCAGCACGCTTTAGATGGTCCCAGAGATGACAAAGGCCGGTTGCGACGGTTGCGAGAAGCCGTTGACCGTAAAGCTTGCTTGAGTTTGTAAGTTGAAATCACGGTTGCAAGCTGGCTTTCAGCAGCAAGGCATTGTCATGAAAGCTGTGGGGATGGACGGCCTTCTCTTGAAGTTTGCATCGCATCGGCTACAAGCTGACCCAGCAATAGCGAACTGCCTGCACAAAGGTTGCTCCCTCTCAGCCACCATGTGGGGGAGAAGTTGGCTTGGACTGCACTGTGGCTTCGTGCTTCTACAGGTCACGCAAGCTCTTCAACAATCTGGGGACGCGCTTCAATATGCAAGCTCAGAACTGCGAAGTGATCCGACCCTGGCCTGATTCCCAGCACTTCTTCGGGACCGCAGCTGCAGTTTGCCATTCAATGCACAGTGCTGCAGGTCATGAGTGCAGTGAAGCAGTTCCCTCATGTCTACCTCCTAGCAACGGGCGCTGCCCGCCGGGACCCGAGAGAGATCTTGGCTTCTGCAAACACTGCAGCTCAAGATACCCCTAAGGGGCTGACAAGGATCTGGCCGTGGAAGCTTTGAGAGGCAACGGGCACCTTCTTCAGCACATCTCGGAGCCACGGCCAAGTAAACCACTACTCTCTGCCGAGCAGATGAGCAAAATCCTACAGTATTCTCCCTGAGCCAAGGAACCTCTCTGGTCCAGCAAGGCAAGGTGACCATCGTATGCAGTGCGGTTCAGTAGCGTTGCAGTCCCACAATGAGCTGGAGGAAGTGGTGCTGGCTGCTGTTAGCAGTGCAGGATGGACTTAATCTGGCATGTCTCCGGCCGTCATCAGCAGCCAAATCGACGTCATTAGTTTTTGATGCAGTGTCTGCTGGTGTTCATGGCGGTGTTTTGCTGCTCGCAAGGAGCAGCCTTGCAACATGCTCCTCGTCATCTTCGCGCCGACCGAGAGGTCCGCGCGCGTGTTAGGGTTGGCTGGCCGCGCAACGAATTCTGCGCGGATTTATTTACATGGCCCTGCGGGGTTGTCTCTCGGAATCTTGCGATTTTTGTTGCTACGGAGTTTCTTAAGATTCTATTTGCCTGAAAAAAGTTCGCGCACAAATTCTCGTGCACCGCCGGTCAGCAAATCCGCGCGGCAAAACATTAAAAAACAACGCGGAAATCTTGCCCAGAGAGACAGTACCAACATGTCCACGGCACTTGTAGATATGATTGACGCAATGTGGCAATTGCAGCTTGTCCAATGCCATTACGCCGCCCGACGCCCTCGTGCATCAGTGCTGAGACAGCTAGCCGGCGGAGTCTGAAGTTGCCGGCAGAGCAGTGTATGTTTCTGCCTTGGTGTACCAGTCTGATCTTCGGAATGTCGCTGCTTTCTTGGTTGACATGCTGTGGTTTTCGTAGCTTCTCTGTTAGAGTTGGCAGCCGTCCCTGTACTCTGCGTGCTTCGTCTTCTAAGTGCGAGCACTTTACCTTTCTCCGATGCTTCCTCTCAACGCCACAGCCCGCAGCAGGTTGTGCTGACATCAGTTCGATCTGACTGCCACGCGCTCGAGTACAGCGCTGCGGAGCTCAAGGCCACTCAGCCCTTGCAGCGCCTCTTCGACAGCATTTGCGGTGCCGTTGAGCAGCTTCTTGTGAGACTGGCGAGGCAGGGTCTGACCGTGAAATCATGATGGAAGCCGTCGCGCAGCTTAGCTTCAGGAAAGTTATTTCATGTTTTGAGGCGCATTTGGAGGCCAGGTCAAGGTTAGCAGCTAGCAGCGACAGCAGATGCAAACCACCACTCAGGCAGGATGGAGACATGCTGATGTACGCCTCAAGTACACTCAGGCCGCTAAGCACCTGTGCCTGCCTATGGTAATTTAATGTCACATTAGTCGCATGCCGGCTCCTGGGAAGCTGACAGGAGCGTTGCTGTCCGATACCTTTTGCCCAAGCGTTGTCTCGAGTACACGCATCTCCGGTACTGAAAGCTTTTGCTTCTGCGCTTTGGCGAGAACCCTTGAGCCATCGTGCAGCTTCATGAAGTTTCTGATCCTTTTGCTGTGGCCCTTGCTGGCATCCGGGCTGCGTCGCAAACCCCAGGGCCGAAGTGGGGTCTTTGTGCACCTCTTTGAATGGTCTTGGCAAGACGTGGCCAGAGAATGTGAGGATTGGCTGGGTCCAAAAGGTTTTGCTGCAGTGCAAGTATCACCTCCAACAGAACATATTCAGGGCCGTGAGTGGTGGACGCGCTATCAGCCCGTCACGTACAACCTAACCAGTCGCTCCGGGGATGAGAAAGCCTTTGCTTCAATGGTGAAGCGTTGCAAAAAGGCCAATGTTCAAGTCTACGTCGATGCCGTCCTCAATCATTGCGCCGCAAACAAAGGGACGAGCATCAGTGGCAACACCTACGGTGGACGAAGAACTCCGATTTTCAGCCCGGAGGATTTCCACCACATCCCCGGCGACACCAGTGGAAACTGTGGTGTAAGCAACTTTGCAGACATCCACAATGTTCAATTCTGCGACTTGCAGGGCCTCCCAGATCTCTGCACCGAGTGCGAAGCTGTGCAAAGCAAGATCGCAGCTTACTTGAGCGAACTCGTAGAGCTTGGTGTGGCTGGCGTTAGGCTAGATGCCGCCAAGCATATTCCAAAAGCCGATTTGGCAAAGATCTTCGAGAAAGTTAAAGACGGCAACAAGCTGCTGAAATACGCCGAGATATCGAAAGCGACTACGACAGATGTCGTGACCGAAGACTTGTACATTGATCTGGTAGACGTCATCGAGTTCAACTATTACCCAGAGCTTGACAAGGGCATTGCAGAGTCGGGCCGCATGTCAAATTTGGAATCACTAGGAGGGGCACCAGATCTGGTGCCAGGTTCTTCTGCAGTGGTTTTTGTGGATAATCACGACACGCAGCGTTCCAAGGATCCGAGCTTCGTTCGCTTTCATATGTACATGTCAAAATATGCACATGCCGAATTTTGTTTAGCCTGCATGATGTGAGAGGACAGCAGCAGCGCGGCAAAGCTGACTTACAAATCTGGAAGGCTGTATCAACTGGCCAGTGCCTTCATGCTGGCCCATCCCTACGGGTATCCTCAGATCATGAGCTCCTTTCATTTCAGCGATTATGACCAAGGTGCCCTGCCCAGAACAGCTTGCCACTTCAGGATACCTCAGGTAAATAGTCACAGGGTTCGCAAGATTTTCATGTGAATGTCCCCGTGGCACCTGGTGTTTGTCCTAGACTGTGAGGTCCACCGTCAGTTTCTGTCCACAAAGAAGATGGGGACCTTCGTTGTGGAGAATTCCAGCCATGGGTTTGTGAGCACAGGCCTGGCCCTAACAAAGGGGACTTTGACCAGTCTTTAGCCCTTGCTCGTGCGCATGCTTCTGACGTGACATCGATGTGCTTCACGACTCAGCAGAGCACCCGCAGCTCAAGGTCATCACATAATGCTCCAGGACGACCAGTAAACATGTGGCATCAGATGACACTTTCAAACTGCACCTTGTTTGCGCACAAGAATGCGACGCTTTAGAATCCTGCCAGAACTTCGTTACATTGCTGACACTTCGCAAATCGGCCTGCGCCTATGCATTAACACAGTTTCACGCACCTCAAGCGGAAGGGCAATGGTCCTGTGTTAAATACATTGTTGCCTCGTGTTTCCTAAGAGTGAGTGCTGACCCCTTCGGGCTGGCCGGCATTTTTGCAGCTGCAGCCAGGTGGGCTGGCATCGCGAACATGGTAGCATGGCGCCACACTGCCGGCGACAATCCCATCACGCATTTTACTGCGCTCAGTGAAGACACAGTTTCCTTTTGCCGCGGCAGCTTGGGCCTGCACATGGACCCTGCGCCGTGCGAATTGCCCAATCAGTCTCAGCAAGACTTGCAACATGACCTGAGGCAGCGTGGCATGCGTTGCATTCAACCGGCAAGAGTCCGACGAATGGGTGGTCAGCCTCGACTTGCCGCTAGACCCAGGCAAAGCGCAAGCGACGCTTCGGTTTCTGCTTTGAAGAGCCAGGTGCAGGGAGGCAAGCTGCGAGCTTTTTGCTAGGTGACTACTGCGACGTGGCGAGTTCGGATGGAGTTGGATGCCCAGTGATCAAGGCACGGTCGAAAGACCACTGGCCTCCTGACTAGACTGATTCTAGCCTTTGTGCATACAAGCTCTGTGTAGGCAACAACACATAGCAACACCGTGGGTGGATGGGTCGGTGGGTGGGTGGGTGAAAGTTATGCCCGTGTTTGCTTGTGCTTACCTCTGAGCACCGCTTAGGGCTACGTACCGGCCAGCCAAGGCACCGAACGAACAGGGTTGCACATCCCGGTTGTGGTGCCAGCAAAATCAAATTGCCGCGAGGCTAAGCCTAGAACTTCTGGTTATGTTCAGGCATCATCGATCCAACTGCGCGGCGGATATTTGCTCGAAAGCTAGCAGATGGCGGACAAATCGTCAATGATGTGACAAAACCTGCTGGCCCTTGCGTGGTCGTCCAACAACAAGCACTTGCATGTGCATGGGGTGTGTTTGCCTATGTGAGAGAAAGAGGGGGGGTGCTTCGGGTTACACACTCACACTCCCCGAGAGGGGCCTGACTTCGAACTGCTGCGGGGTTCGCCGTCATACCCCTAGCAGGCAAGCGAGCAAAGCAGAGAGAGAGAGAGAGAGACAGTGATTATAGGCTTTGTGAGGATCGGACCATTGTGCTCTGTATGTGTTTTTCTCGTGCCGCTCACGAAGATATCATACCCAATCTTTCAACAATCCCCCAAAGCCCCATAACACATGGGGGGCCACAAGGCCAGGGGACTTAACTCGTCCCCTACGCCCAGTGAAAGAAAGACAGAGATTTCGTCAAAGAAACACTTCCCACGGTCCTGAAGAAGCTATCCCGTTACAGGGTGCCTCCTCTCTAGACCTGCAGACTGCAGAAAGAAAGAGATGGCACCCTCGGGAGCCGAACGGGTGAGGGCCGAAGACTTTCATGCGATGTCTGTGAAGCTTGTCCTGATTCCTTATTATGGTTTGTGCCGACTGTGGCAGCAACCCCACGCATTGGTGGCATAATGTAGGTTGTTGTTCGAAAGAACTGTGTGGATACAGCAGCCGCAGTTTCCGGTGATGTGTTGACGCTGTTTGTGTGCACTGTACATGGAGATGCCCAAAATTCGTTAACTTTGGGTGCTAGTGAGAGGTTGCAGAGCCTATGCCTGCACGTTGTCACGTCTTCAAGATCTCAGACATCTATATATATATATACACACACACAGACGATCCCGGTTCTCGGTTCGCCGACCCCCGCCTGCCACGCCCAGCTCCAAATATGCCGCGTCCCTGTGACTGCGCGCACTTCTCTCACATGGCGGTCCAAACCATCAACTGTCACGAGAATCTCGTCCCAAACACACCCGATCCTTGTGACAGTGGAAACTTTCCACCGAGGACTTTGCCATGAGGGTATTCAAAATGCAGCTGTCACCAGGATCGCGTTCCTGTCAGGCCCGCTTCCTGTGGCAGTTGACACAAGAAAGGAACGCGATGAGGAGGAGGAGGAGGAGGATGACGATGAGGATGACGATGATGATGGTTGTGATGACAAGTTCGAAGCACCCAGGGCGACCCAAACCGAACCACAATGGGTACCAACCATCGGGGGGAACGGGGGGGGGCCGGCCGAAGCGGGATCATATGTGCCACCCGTCTCAAGAACCACGCCAAGCTGATCAGGTATTACATCCACCTTAAGTCATCCCGTGTCAACAGGTGGTGTTTCCCTCATATCCAAAAGACCACTGCCCCTGGATTGCAGCCCTTCTGCAATCATCAAAACACATTTTAGAATGTAAACATTCCAACGTTTCCGAAATGTCCAAAAAGTCCGCCCCTATGTCTTGCAATACCATGTGTTCTAGCTTCTGACCTTGAAATTTCGGATTTTTTAGACATGTTCCGAAGTTTTCGATATTTGGGAAAGTTCCAAAAATTCCGAAATTTCCAGAACGATAGCCCCTATGTTTTGGACCATCGCGTGTGCTTGGTTTTGACATTTTGGTTGTTTCGATTTGTTTGGAAATCTCTGACATTTTGCAGCAAACTTCTGACATTTCGGATATGTTGGCATGCTCCCAGCTTTTGGGGATACGAAGGTTTAGTTTTGGAACTTTGGAAGTCTCCTGCTTAGCAGGAAAGCAGGAAGTGTGGGGTGAGATCTCGAGGTGTAGGCAAGGCGAGAACTTAAGCAAACGCCTTGTCGTTGTAGCTGTTGTAGCAGTGTCTTATCCAATTAGTGTTCATAGGTAACTACCAACTCAATCTTTATAACATCTTCTTCTGATTTCTTTTCTGAGAATTTCAATACAGCATTGAACGAAAGCCTAAAGTATCCAAAGTATCCAAGCAATGTGCATAGACATCTAGTCAGTGCCGGTATATATTTGCTTCAATGTCAGTGCCGCAGGAAAATCCATGGAGTCCCGAACAAAAAATGTCAGCATACGTAGCATTTGTGTGTTGGTTTGGTCCGACCCCTACATTAGATTCCATTTCCAGGCTTCGTATTTCATCGGTCCCCAGCGAGCGCCCCCTCAACCATAAGCCGTACGATGGTAACCCTCTCCCTCAAAGCTTGGCCAGCTTTTGCCGCAGGACCCGATAGAATGTCAGAATTCCCTTATGGCCTCATGGTCATATACCTTTCTCATAATCGTTTTGATAGCACTTTAGACGACGCCAACAAGTAGCCAATCATATGAAATCTCAAATGACATCTTTAGCACTCAGCTAGACTACACTATTAGCCGTAATTCCGAAATTTAACATTGCTGCACTGAGAAGCTTAAACTACATGCTTGCAACTTAGACCGAGAACTATGCAAACAATCTAAAGCCTTTATTATCAAGAAAAGCGCTGTTTCCAAAGGCTTCAAAAAAGCCTAAAGCCCCTGACCCAAAACTGGGAGCTTAATGAATCTTGCACCGTCACAAATACCCCTACCAGTAGCTGCTAAATTCCCGGTACGAATGCTGATCATGGTTATATCCAATACAAATCACTCGGCCGGTAAGAAGTAACACGGGCCATGAACCAAGGATCACGAATTTAATCAGAGTCAGAGACTATATTGACTAGATGGCACTGGTCCTCAAAGGGTCGCGTCTGGGTACCTGGCCCAACGTGGGTGCTAATGACGGCTGTTCGAGGCGTGCTTGTTTTACCTTTTTGGTACTGGTCCTGAAAGGATCGTGTCTGGGTACCTGGCCCAACGTAGTTGCTACCGTCCTCGTGGCTGCATAGGGCAGGCTAACGTACAAAGTTTGAGGCTGGTTCCCACACTTGGGTCGGTGTTCATTAACGCGGACCGTGTTAATTAAAGCGAGACCAAGAACCATGGTTCCCACTCTTTGCCCCGGGCCGGTGTAAGTTAACACGGGCCGTGGTAATTAGCACGGACCCCCGGAACCAAGAACCAAGATACATGGAAAACTTTTTGGACACGGCCGTGGTAATTAGCGCGGACCCCCGGAACCAAGAACCAAGATACCTGAAAAACTTTTTGGACAGCATCTTGGTTCCCACTCTTTGTCCCAGGCCCGTGTTAATTAACACGGGCTGTGGTAATTAACACGGTCCCCAGAAACCAAGAACCAAGACTCAACTTGTATTTGAATACGCTTTTCACTCTCGAGGGAGTTGGGCTTTGCCTGTAGGTTGCTCAAGGGTCTTCGAAACGGGCCTACAGTGTTGCTGGCACTACACCGAGTGCTGTGCATGATACACATATACATACATGTTACACATATATATAATATATATACATATGTATATGTGTGTGTGTGGGCGTATACATATCTGCATATGGGCGTGGGTACGTATGTCTATATGTCCATATGTGTTGATGTGCTTATATATATATACACACACACACACATATATATATATATACACAATATGTGTGTGTATATATGTATGTGTGTATTTGTGTCTATGTGTGCGTGTAACAATGTATGCAATACATGTTTACATATAGACTATACACCTATCTGTGTGTAAGTCGTACAAGACATGAATGATATGAACGAAGACACGGGGTTGATGCGGTGCCCTGGGCCACTGGGCTCCTTGCGTGTTCGCCAGAATCCCGGACCAGGTGGACAGTGACAAGACCGCAAAGATCACGGTCCCAGCGCAGGGTTTCGTGGCAATTCATGCAGGGGCACGCAAAAAGAGCCCTCCAACAGACGACGACTCCGAGCTGAGCGAGGCGGGACATGGCGGGACTGCCCTGAGCCATGCCAGCAACAAATTTAGCGATGCATTCTAGGTGCAGCTTCGTGCAAGACCGGCACATGCTCCAAAGGGCGTCTTCTCCATCAGCGTTTCTCGGAGCAGCTACTTAAAGGCACAGTCCGAAGTTCGCCTGAACCAAGTAATCCGAGGCTGGTGGCGCATACCAAGAATGGTGAAATGCATGGGTGCCCGGTTATTTCGCTCCCTGTCGTGGCTCGACGATGTCGCACTCGCCCGAAAAATGAAAGGTATGCGCTTGATGGTTGTTTGTGAGTACTGCAGATATGTCGCATCTTGCCTTTTGCAAAGACAAATTGCAGCTGAAGCCAAACAACCGGCCAGGGCCGACAGAGAGCTGGTGATGACTGCACTGAACCGTGGTGGACCTCAAGTTCTTCACCATGCCTCGGAAGAGCTGCAGCTCGCCTGCCCGCTTCAAGCTCGGGTTCCAACTCGCTTTTGGCACACGCTTGCTGATCATGAAGCCGCAGCCGAAGGGGGTAGGGGAAGCTCGCCACAGTGTTCAAATGTCGACTGATCTTGCACGCCTGCCTTCTCCAGGCAAGCAGAATTGCATCAATGCCCGCAGCCCCAAGCCTTTAAGCGTGAAGTGCAAAAAGGTGAGCGTGCTCGCAACTGCATCTGGAACTAGGGAGGCTGTGATCAAGTAACGGTGTTCCCACGTGAGAGTGTATGTACAACTTGTATTGGAGATGTGCATGGCCCGGGCTCTCGTTTGGGTCTCACAGGCCCTGTACAAGCCGTCACAACAGTGAAGCAGTGCACTAGCAACCTCAGTCACGCTTCTCGGACTGGACTGAAACGAGTGCACACGCCAATGGTCGCCAGCATGGCCATCAGATCATAAGAAAGATGTGACACCATTATTGAGCGCATGCCTTTCAAGAATGAGGAAAGCGTCTGCTCCTCAGACCTTCACAACAGACCAAAACATGTCTAGAAGGAGCAGGAGTGTTGCTTTGCAAAGGTGGTTGCAGATGCTTGGATGCATCTAGCTCCAGCAGCTCCGGAGAAGCACCCCTTGCCATGCAGGCCCCTAAGGGGCCTGCCAAGTGCAGGAACTTATTCAGCTGCACCTCTGTGGATCACTCGATGAGCACGGACGAGAAGATTCCTGGAAGAGTGCACTGGTCAGCGCTTTGCCTATCAGCCATCTGGCCGACTTGAAGCAGGAGGACCGGTAAAGCATGACAAAGTGGGCTCTTTGCCCTTGTTCTTGGAAGGAGATTGCCAAGTTCGTGCCAATCAAGAAGGACACCATCTCCAGCTTCAGGCACGAGTCGACGGTCACCAGGATCTATCACTGGATCATGGCCTACCTGGAGACTTCCTTGAACTTCATTCATGAGAGTTCTCCACAGAGAAGAGAGCCGGGTATGAGCACTTTTCTATCCCAAGCTAAGGAGAGCAAGGGCTACTTGTCATACACCCGGGTGAACGCACGGATTCTGACCTGCGAGCTGCTCAAAGAGTGGGCTTACGAGCATCGACATTTCAGTGACCGGGAAATGGACCTTCACGTCATGTGCCGCTACAAAGAGCGGCCCGGCAACTTTGTTCTTTTCCTGCCACCGTGTCAACCGGATCTTGCATCTCAGGTTTGTGGCCCATCTGCTGTACTTCCACGACAGGTGGTGTCGTTCTCAGGCACGAGGCATAGCGAAGTGCTCTGCCCTTGGCTCCACTGGCTCAGGGCGGAAAGCGAACACGGTGCCACGCGCACCAGAATACTGGGAGAGCCCCATGGTCTCTTACGCAGCAAGCGGAAGGAGCAGAGCTGACGTCTCGATAGGCTAGCACAGACTCACATCATGACTGGAGGAGACCTTTGTAACGACACTGGTGAAGGTCCATGATGCCTTGGGCAAGATGCATCAGACTTTGGAGAAGGCCATGAGTGTAGAGTAAGTTCGGGATGGTTGCACAATGCGGCACACAGCTTGCAAGTTCTTCGAAGCTGCAGGTAGAGACGTCCGAGTCGAGCTGCAGCGTCTTCCTCGGGCAGCTAGCTGAACTTTTTCAGCATTTTTTGGATCAGGCGCCGGCAGTCAGGGCTGATGCCTGGAACTTTCGGCTAAGAGGCTCGCCTCGCTCGGCATCGCTCGGCAGGCAGCTGGGATCTGTTTTCTCGGGCCGATGGAGCATCACGAGGCCCGAAGCCAACGCGGTTGACTGATCGGTTCGAGACATTGAAGCACGGCTTCTCCTCCAGGATATCTGCGCGGCACATGCAGAGTTTGGAATCGACTTCCTCGAGAGACAAAGGGTCAGTATTCGTGGTCACAGCGGCCGCGATCTCACAGCTCCATGCAACATCTGTGCCACATGCAACGATGCTGCCGCCTGCCGGTGAACAGCGACTGCAGGCGAGGTTTTCTGGAGTACAGACTGGGGTCGCCTGCTGGACGCAGCATTGCGACAGGGCGATCCAGATAGGTTTCAGCCACTGGGCCCTTTGGCTCGAATCTGCTGCCTTTGCCACCTCCGGGTTTGGGTTAGCCGCGGTTAGCCTGTTAGCCAGGCAGCTGGCTGATCTTTTACCAGGAGAAGGGCAGCCCGTGCAACCTGGTGAGCTTGAGACTGTCCTTTCGTGCTGGCGTCGGCCTGATCCCTGATGTTCAATCTGTCCCCCTGCGCTGTCAGCGCGCAAAGGTAGGTTCTTGAACATCCAAACTCGCTAAAGCTCGGTAGCGTCACAAAGCTGGAGAATCATCCGGAAGGGTGCCCGATCATTCTAACTATGGTCCATGTGACTGATAGCAACAGGGCCCCAAGCCGCTTGCAACTGAGCACATGCCTCACACCCACCACCATCAAGGCAAAATGTGCAGATACTATTCACAGCCTGGCCCTCAAGGGGTCTCGCCAGCCGGGTCACGGAACGGTAGCTTGCTGACTTACAGGTTGGCGGCCGAGACCCGCCTGCGTTCGATTCCGAAAGCTGCCATATTGCTGGGACCGGGACCGGACACTTTCCAGAGTTCATCAAGTCTTGGTTTGGATCGTTAGCTAACTTGGTTTTTAATTGCAGACGATCAGAAATGTGCAGTGCTTGGGCGCCGCTTCCGAAATCACCATACCAATCCCAGGAATACAGAAGGACGATCAACAAGAAGCAGCTGGAACACCAAGCTGAGCCACTGCTGGAGGTGGTTCGTTTCGCAGTGGGTTCGCAACAGACTCGGAAGCTTGTATGCATGTCGAGCCATTAGCAGGCCATTGATGCACACTTGCTGGCGATCGGTGCAAAACCACCTGAGAAGAATCTGTGGGCACGCGACCTGGTCAGAGCATGCCACTAGCCGGGCAGCATCATGCATGGCATAAGTTCTTTGCAGGTGCACAACCTACCGACAGTCGATGACTTTGCAGCAGACACAGCAGCAGCTCGACGTCTTGAAATGTTCTTGACCTGTTTCCAGCAGTTCGCGCCCTCCAAGGATGGCGACCTGTGGGACTTTCTCGAAGCGGAAGAGCCACTCCCAGGCCAAACGTTTTGCACATGTGTGACAAGTTATAAAGGAGGTCTTCTGCATACTCAGGTGATCGTGCCAGGGGCTACTCTGCTACTTGCCTCATATACGCATGGTTGCATGCAGAAGTGTGGTTTTGACAATCTGTCAGCAAAAACTGGTTCGAAAGCTTGCACGATTGCACGTTCAGTTTGAAACCAGATCTGCAGCTAAAGCAAGCAGTACGAGGCCTTCACGTTTGCTTGGTGATACTCTGTCTGGAACTCCCGGAAGTCTACAGGTTTCGGTTTCATGCTTGCGCGACATGTTAATGCTGTCAAGAGCAAGGAGTCGAGCAAGTCCACTGCAGATCTGTCCTCGAGGCGCAAAGCAGCGTGCCCTTCCCCAACATGCACCAAAGGGTTCTATATTTCTATATTCTATCGGCAACAGATTTGTCAAAGTTTCTGCTGGCTTACTGTTTTGAGTTGTCCCGCTATCCCAAACAAGCCTCAGGGAAGCTCATTAGCTGCATCGCGAGCTGTGAAAATCAGCTGACGAGGCAAAGCCACTCTTCCGAACGTAGTCGTGTTGACTGGAGCGCAAAAACACATCTAGATGCGAGCGTTCATCTAAAGGTCCAGTCTCAGACATGAGGTAATGTGTCTGCGAATGATTGGCGATGGGTCCGCGAAAGGAAGGCAATAATCTCCGAAACTTTCGAACGTGACAGACTTGCGACATGGAAGACCCATAAAGGACACGCAATCATTGTGCAGTTATTGCGCAATGCCACGGTCCACCCACAGCCAGGGTTGCAGGCTTGACTGGGCTGCCGGAACCAGCAAAGACGCAGCTGCCCATTCAACAGAAATGCATCGTGGCCGTTGTCATCAGCATGACCATCATTGCGCTAATTGTATTGAGCCGTCAACCGGTGAACCTAAACCCTATACGTAGACCCGATCCCCTACGGGCCAAGTTTGTTTGCGCAGGTCTTGCCGCAGACCATAATAGCAGTTGCTGGTCAGCCTCTGCGTCAGAGTGTATCCGTTTTGTAAGACGGCCTGGCTTTTTCAAGGCCAGCGCCACAGCTAGAACCACTTCTGCTACTGACGACTACTACCACCACCATCACCACCACCAGCACCACCACTACTACTTCTACCGTCTGCCTATTACAAGCTGCAACTACAACGAAAACTACGATGATGACGACGACGACCATATACTACGACGACTACTACGACGACTGCTACTGACTAGAATGTTGCACGAGAGCATCAACCCGCGAAGAAGCCATTTCCAGAAGAAGGAATATTGATCAACGCTCATGTTTCCCCCAGCATGTTGCAACAGCCCTTTGCCTTCGCAGCTCTTGTGCGCTTCCTTGCCTGGGCCAGGCGTCATCCACAGTCTGAGGCTGAAACTTCCTCTTTCACTGCGGAAAGTTTTGTGGGAGAAGACTTGGCCAATGTGGCAGCCTTGGGCTGCCCGGCAAAGAAGTGCGGACTTGTTCACTAAGTCCCTATTGAGTGAGAGATCTGTTGTGCAAGACCTACAGGGAGGCGGGTTGTCGGGGGACGAGGAAGAGAAAAGGTCTGCTCTAGCCGTGGCTTGAGGCCGCATACCTGCTGCTGTTTTTGCATCCGTCAAGCAACCCGAGGTTCCAATGGTCGCACACTTCCCTTTTACTTGGCCGTTTCGAAAACACAATGAATCACGGGCCCCAAGTGGGGCAGGTATTTCTTGGCTGCGGAAACCAGAGTGATCCAATTGGTACGATTCTGCTATTTAGAACTACCTTATCAAGTTCCCGCGAAAAGTTCCAAAGCGAGCAAGCCGCTGAAGAAGGAAAGAAGGCAACAATTGCAATAGATGAGTGAAGTCACGAAAAAGGGTGTCATGCCAAAGGGCCAAGTCAGAACCCCTGCCGGCCGTGTTGTAGCAGAGCGGCTCAGCTCGGAGGGTTGAAACACTTCCGGACCTCAGCTTTGCTGGCCCTGCTAGGCGGGGAAGATGTGGGACGCCGGGCAGAACCTGCCAGAGATGCTTGACAGGGCTTTCGCTCAACGGAAGACACCATCGCGACGTTGCCAGCTGCCTTTTTAGGAAGCAAATCCGAGCATATATGCTTAGACAAGAGGTTAGGTGGAACTCAGCAAAACCTCGGAGGACCATCTGCTCCCGCGTAGAATCGCAAGAGAACACTCGAGCAGACGCCCAGGAGAACCAATCCTTCGAAGGAGTACTCGGAGAGCCGACGACAGCCAGGAAGGCCGTCACCAAGCAGCTCTAAACAGGACCGGTGAACACGCCCACCACAGACAAATCGCCCTTCTGCTGTGCCAATGCACCCACCTCCCACGGTTCGTTGTCTGGAAAGTCGCCTTGAGCACATTCTCAAATCGTTTGGACAGATGGAGTGGCAGAGATATCTCCGACATTGGGGCTGCGACACAGTACCAGGACATTGCAAAAGGGGGAACTGCTCACGGCTTACAGAGGCGGCTGAAGGTGGCTGAAGTGCACGGCCACGAGGCACAGATTTGCAGCCATGAGTGAAATTTCGACGCTTGGTATAATTACCAAGGGGGGAAGGGCTCCTTAACGTTATTCTCAAAAGCCGCTGCGCAACAGGACAACTCAGAAAGCATCGTCAAATCGCTTACCGTAAAACATCCCCATGAAGCCCACGCAACAGCTCTCCAAAGTTGAATCACCAAGCCTGTCGAATCGAACACGACATGCAAGACAGACTGAAAGTCACGGAAGGTTTCCCCGACCTATCGGAAAAACAATTTGCCGACAACTCTCCAAAAATCCATACCATCAAAGGTGACAGATGCATGCGTAGTTTGATTTGTCTGCACACTGAGGAGCTTTGCTGCTTCTTTGACTCCCAAGTTCCATCCAGAAACTTGTGGCACCGCGGCAGACCGTGAGCCATATCGTTGTCCGTGAAAGCTGCAAAAGGACAAGGACGATGACGGCCTAAATCTGCGTGTGTCTGCGTGTACACCCAGTATGCCCCTTCCTGATCCAACAGCACCGGAAGGGTTGCGCATGGCCAAAGGCTGTTCGGGGCAGGACATGAAGGGCCCCAGCTTTGGTGCTCTTTTGCCTGCCGAGCGAAAGAAAGAAGAGAGTTATGTGTGGGTGTGGAGGCGTGTGGCTGCGGGGAGTGTGGGTGTGCATGCAAGTGCGGAATCCAGTTTTTCTTTTCAATTGATCACGGAATGCTCGCTTCACTGCCGGGTGGTTGCGCCAACGGACCTTAGGAGCTGAAGTGGAATTGGTTCGAGCAAAATGGACGGCAAGGAATTGGTCCCGTACTCGACTGCCGCATGCTGCCTGTCATGTGACCGGCAAAATCCGATCATGTCTGAAAGCTACCGAGGTCACGATGTGGCCTATCGTCGGCTTTCCTCCAGGACACAGCAACGATCAGTGGACCACACGTACCCGGTTTCGACGCCTTGATCAGCAATGTTCTGCAGATGGCGGCAGCTCCGCACCATTGGCACAGGCAAGCAAACGATTGTTTGCGTGTCCCAACCTGTCCTGACGCCTGCTATGAATCAAGGAAGATCTGGCTTGTCTGTTGGATGTTCGCAGGCCGCTGTCTCTCAGCATCCCTCGTTTGATAAGCTTGGGCCAGGATGCAAACATGTGTAGTTCCACACGTAGCTGAAAATCTTTACCCCTGCCAGGACAATCCTCAGCCCATTGGAAGGTGTTTGCGTGCAGCTTGGAACGCTTCGATCACGGCGAGTTCTTCATTCAGCCCTTGCACGACTGATGTTGCATGTGGATCATTTTATCGACGCTCGCTTTGGTGGGTTACTGCCTTCTTCCAAGCACCAGTGCTCCTGCTTTTGCTGAGGAAAGTATGGTGCAATTCCACCAGATATTCGAAGGACGACTCTTCGATCAACTGAGGCCACTAGGGCCAGCTGCGTGTCCCGTTCCTTCTTCCGCTGTGGCATTGAAGCTGTTCTGTATAGTTTGAGAGCCCCGTTGCAGGAATCAGGAGCCCCGCTCTGCAAACGCCTTCGCTCAGCGGCCGGAGGTGCAAAGGAGCTACCGCCGCTACTATCAGCGGCTTTTCCGCACATGGCAAGTAGTTTTGCTGCGACACGCCACATAGCAGAAAACACGGGGACTCATGTCTCAGGCGGGCGCTGACTCTTCGACGTGAGATTGCGAAGAAGGTGCGCAGCGCCCAGGAAATTTTGCCTAACCATCATCCGATCGGAAGTCGAAGGTTGATCCTCTCCTCCCTGAACTGATATGTGACTCACACTTGCCCGATGAGCGGGCCAGACATCTGACACAGCACAGCTTCTTCTTGTTCCAGGCCCTCAGGCCGGAGACAACGCAAGACCTCACTCGGCTGTTCAGGCGCAGATGCTGTCAGAGGCGATGCCGCTGCAATCCAGCGAGGACGAGCAGTGCAGCCCTCCAGCTGCAGAAGCTTGTGCATGTGACCTCTGCACTGCTACTGGAGTAGAAATCTGTAGATTCTGGGCGTGCTGTGACCGAAGCCGTGCTATGCCTCAGTCAGAGGCATCGACAAGCTCAAGAGCTCCATGAATGCATCTCGCCTCCAAGTGCCGAGCGTGTTCACATAGCCGTGACATTTCGCTGCCCGAGGCCCTGGCAAATGCTCTCAGCACCGGGCCAAATCAGCTTCCTGCCTTAGCAGATGCTCGACATGCCTTGGCCGTGACTGACGGGCATCGAAACCCTGTCACTTTCGGCCACGAGACGGACCACAACCTCAACCACTCGCGAGTTACAAATCCTAACTTAAGGCGTCAAACGATCAACAGTGTGAGCCCGGTGCTTGTTGACTGACAGCGCGTGGCTCGATAAGATGTGCCGATGGGGCGTGTTTTCTCGCTGGCAAAGCTCCCAGCGTCTCCTCTCGAAGAGAGCACACGAAAAGCGCCACCAATTACTCTAGCCGGTCCATGCTCAAACATGTCCCGAAAGGGACTGGGACATGACGGGACATGGTGACCGAGCGCTGTCGTCCCGCCTCGGCTAAAACCTGGCCTTTGCATCGCTGCCTGCACAGCAAGCGGGACGAGGGGCGCACTAGTATATAGGCCTTAGGCCTCGTAGGCTTGGCAACCGCGCGAAATGCAGAACTGTATGTCGTGAAAGCAGCATCAGTAGCAACAGAGCTTTCCCATCTCATTGGCCGAAGAGATGCGAGCTGTAACATATGCGAAACAAATAAAACGTTGCCTTGTGCGCCACAGTTTGCAACGACATCTGCGCTTCAAGCAGAGGAACCTGGAAGCTAATCCTGAGCCTGAGCTCTTCGGAGCGCGCCTGGACCCGGCAAAGGGCTCCCGACATCCAGGGGATGTCTGGGGGACACATCAGCCTCGGACGTATAAACAAGGCATGTGCCGCTCTGAGCCTGGGCGAGACACTAAGTGAGCTCACCCCGTTGCAACTTGATCTTTGTATACGACAATTCCACACAACAACTGAGCACCACGGTGCATACCTCACATCACTGCGGGCATATTGGTTTATCTACTTTACACTTTGTATATCTGTAGCCTATTGCTATTCAAGCGTATATCATATCCTAGTTGGCAAAACTCGAGGGTTCAGCACCGATCTACACATTCAAAAGCCAAGATCCGGGCGGGGCTTTGGCAGGGCAAGCGCGGCTTTCAATATCGGGGCCTGCCCATTGCAGAGCAGCGGCTTTCAGGTGCAAGAGGCTCGTCATTGCAGAGGGAGATCCGCAGAGGATTTTTACAGCGAGACAGCTAAGTCGCATCATGTTTTTTTGGATCCCGCCCCACGCTGGGCTTGGGGATTCGTGATCACGTTGATTCGGGATTGTTGAGGTTTGATAGCTGAATCTGATTTTACAGCAATTTACATGGAGAATCGTTCTTTCTGTATTGCTGGGTGGTTAGTGCTTGCAAAATCGAGCGCCTACATGGGGAACGGCTGGTTTTGATTTGCCGTTTGATGCGATGGCTGGTTTTGATGCTGCTGTTTGCTGCGATGCCATTGGTGTGTTTCTCGTGCGGGTGCTTACGAAATCGAACCTCTACATGGGGCATGGCTGGTTTTGATTTGCTGTTTGCTGCGATGCCACTGATGTGTTTTTTTTTGTGCGGGTGCTTACGAAGTCGAACCTCTACATGGGGCATTGCTGGTTTGATTTGCTGTTTGCTGCGATGCCACTGATGTGTTTCTGGGTTGGCAACAGGAGGCGCCGCTTACGCACTGATTACTCGCAGCTTAAAAGAATCGCACCACTCACCACACATTTTTGGACCTCTGCCAGGCTCTCGAACCAGCTTGTGGAACCGCGCGCCTACATGGGGAATAGCCTGGTTCTGATGATGGGGAATGGCTCGGTTTCCATGTGTTTTTGTCTAGTTGATGCAGCCTTGCTGACGCCGCATCTACATGGGGAAAGCCACGTTGATGTGACCCCCTCGCATCGCGCGCGCGCGTCCGCTTAGACAGCTTTGCTCCAACGGCCTGGCCCTGCGACGTGCTGTCCAGAGATGGTTTCACCCGGCTGTGTCTGGTTTTTTGCTCAACACTGTAGACATTTGCTTGTAGCTGAACTGGGCAGCGTCTCGTGCAACCTGAGCGTGCTTCGCCTGCAGTTTTGAACAATCCCTTTGCTGCGTTGCCTTGGCACAAGTTTCTCCTGCCAAGGAGGCGGGCTTATGCATCAAGAAGGACCGAGAAGAAGCGATCTGCCCCTACTGGCCAGTCGGACATGCCTGTGACAGGACCTGTGAGTCAACATGCAGATCCAGATGCGATCCTCCCGAAGCAGTGCTCCGAGGGACCACGAACTCCCGAAGAGGACCTTTCAACGACGCCACTATTCGTGCCTGGCCGATGCATTGACGGAGTGCTTTGGTCGGCTGCTACCAGCATCTCCTTTCCCCGCAGCCTGAAGCGTGCACAATTGCTGCTGAATTCGAGGCGCCGTGCGGCACCAGCTTCGTCTCAGAAATAGTGCTGGTTGCACAGCTGGAGACATATCAACCTGGTGAGATGCTTGGCTAGCAACCGTTGCGCGACATCTATCCGGAGAATTCGTTTAACCGTTTGGCCTTCCAAAGACGAGCGACCTACATAGGTTGACACTCTTTATGCTTGGGACAGCACTTGTTTGTGGATTCGCAAGAGAGAGATCAAGAAGGCACGGCAAAGGCTTGAAGACTTCTTCCTTTCTTCCTGCTTTGAGTTCACCTCTCTCGAGCGCCCCACCGCTCCCACTCGATGCTTAGACAGAACCCAAGAACCCTGAGAAGTCATTTGACGCCTTGTTCTTAGTCATTGTAATCGCACAAGTATCTCATGGAAGTATCCTTTATCATGCTTGTCGAATTTTTGAAACTCACAATCCCCTCTGTCCATGGCAACCTTTCCAGAATGAATGTCGGCCTCCATGCCTGAGTTGGGTCACTAGCGAGGTACCTTGCTCCCGCGGCACATATCACAGATCATTAGTGCAGAAGCTGTCGATGATGTATCGAGACACGTTGAACACTCCGGCTTTGACTAGCTTTGTTTTGGTTACCTCCAGCTGTCGACCCTCTGGACCAGCTAGAAGTGGTGATCTGAGACAGGCACAGGCTGCACAACCTAGCAGCCTCGCTCTTTCAGTAGATACTGTAGTTGTGGCTTTGCTGAGCCCAGGAGCATTTGGCGCCAAGGAGATGAGTGCAAGAAGCCGCTCTGCTGGGTTTGACAGCGCCAAGATTCATAGGACAACGTAGCGATCCACCGAGGGTCTACATCTTGAAATCCGGGGAGGTGGAGCTTCTCCAAGAGGATCACACGGTACTCCACACATGGAGTGCAGGGGCCATGCTGGGATTGTGCATCATGCTGAATGTCCATCATCGTCTTCGTACGGCGCAAGCGGCCGCTGTGTGCGAGTGCTTGGCCTTGCCATCTACCTCGTTACTTGCTGCAGCCTCGCCTGATGTTGTAACGAAGCCGCTGTATTTTCTCGACGCTTCATAGGCCACAGCTCCCGCATTTTGGCGCTCGTCGGTTTTGGAACCTTCGAGAGGATTCGTAGCAACACGAGGGGTCGCCGCTATGCCTGCTGTCAGTCTCAAGTTGAGATGGAAGGAAACGGAGCGGCATAGTGCCAGAGCAAGAAAGGAGTGAAAATGAGAAGAGACTACTTAAGGCGACTGACGCTGTAGTCCTCCAACCCATTTAAGCCTCCACCTTCAAGGCCAAGGCCCGCTGTTTCGCTGGCACTTGCTCGTGTTTGCAGTGCATGTCTGAAGAAAGCACCAGCAGGCAAGTTAAAGCTATGCGAGGCGGAATCCTACAGTAGCGACAGCATCATTCAACTCGCAATTTACGCCGGGCTGCGGACTTCTTTTGTTGGCCTCACAAGCTCGCTTGACTCAGGCGAGACACAGCCGGTCAATGGCTTGTGCACGTGTGTATGGAGGAAGAGCGAGAGATAACCGAGACAACCCCAGACTGAACGATTAATGATTAGCTAGGAGGCTGCAGCCAAGCCTTAGGATTTTGTAGTCTTAAACCACGGCAGCGTGTCTCCTGACAAGTGCCAGCTCTTTCCTCTGCGAAGGTTCCATGCCATATTGAAGCAGCATCCAGCAGAGAAGAAGCACTTCCTGGAGGCGGCGCAAGCCGAAGCCAAGGGCATACTTGGAGATCGGCAGTTTTTTGGCCCAAAGAGTCTTGCTAGGAGGCTAATCTCAGTGCAACTGCGCCAGCATGGTGACTAGTGGTTCCAACATCCCTGAGGTAGGCCCCTATCGCCTGCTGAAGCCCTTTGTAGCTGCCGCTAAGGTTCGAGTGCTTGGTTGGGGAAGTGCCGATAAGTCCACCGAAGACTGTGCACAGAACGGGGGCATTCCACAGAAAGTGTCATCATGCGAGTCACGACGACAAGCTCGACAAGTCTCCGAAGAAATCAAAGGCATTGGAAAAGCTGCCGACCATTGAGCCAGTCACGAAGCCCTTCGCTTCCTCGAAGTTAGTCCCATCCAGTCTGCCGTTAAGTAGCAGATTTCGGCGGCCATCGTGGTCGAAGCGATGTGCCTCCATGCTGGATGATGACAGTGGCTCTGACACAGAGCTGAACTCAGTAAGTGCTCAGTTCTCAGAACGCCAGATTAGCACGCAGAGTTCTCCAGACGTCGTGGTTTGGTCTCGAAGCTCAACAGTGCCGACTTTTCCTCATGCTCTGCTGACCCCGGAGCACAGTGGCACAGGCAGTCACCTCCTGGTGCCACGGCCGCCTGCCTCGTCAAACGGATCTCGAGCTAACTCCCCCACCCCATCAGCGGCCAGCAAGTCTACATGCCCAGAGCCTGCGGATGATATAAGTCCTGCTTCCAGGAAGGCTACATATTGGAGACTCGGCTCACAAGTGCTGATGTTGTGATGCTGGACTCAGACTGAGTAGTACAATGTACATGACCCCCTCGCGCCCGCACATATGCTGTGACTTCTCGAGGTGCGATGTCATAAAGGACTGGTTCGGGTGCCTGGACGCAGATGGTAGCGGCCGCATTGACCGGGAAGAGTTCAAGAGTATTGCGAAAAACCTCTCTGCAGCTTTTGCGTGGGATGACCATCAGTCCGCCCTCTTGCTTCAGGAAATTGACACCAACAACGATGAGCAAGTAGATTTGCCTGAGTTTGCAGGCTGGCTCACTAATGTCCACGCTACCATGACTTTCAGTCCAGACGGTTGGCTCCAAACGTATGACTTGGGGGACACGCTCCAGCCATTGTACGAGTGCTACGACCCTGATCACAGTGGCATCTCGAAGGACCAGTTCCTCCGCACCTACCGCATCATTGCCAATGCCTTGAAGCATACGCCGGTAGCTTGGCAAAAGAAGGCGGATGTGTGGGTACGAGCTGCGGAAGAAGAGTATGAGAACTTGAACGATGATGGGAAAGACATGTTGATCGAAATCGACGATTTCATCCAGTGGCAAGCCCAACTGCTGAAACATTCCGGAATCCCAAACTCTGTACTGCCGGAGAAGGTGGCTGCGCTTGCCCAGGCATTGAAGGCGGGATCTGGTTTAAAAAGGCGTTGGTTTCAAGATGTTTCCACCAGTACCCGAAGGCCGAAACAAAAGCATACGTGGCGCCGCAGGTCATCAACGATTTGGATAAGAAGTCGACTGTGGCGGATGACAAAGATGAAGCTGCTCTCAGCAAGTCAATCCAGAAAGTTGCCACCTTAGCAAGGGAGTTGTACCTTCCGTGCAGCCAGCAGCTTCGCAAGCTGTTGGAAGCGAACAACCACGAAAGAAAGGCGCCACTGAGTAGTGTGATACTGTTTTTCTGAATTCTCGCACGTGCCAAAGTGGCAGGAAACGCAAGGTTGCGATGAAAAGTATAAGTGGGAGAACCCACCTGACGGTGCGGTCAATCGACTCCGCCGGGACGGTTGACTGCTTTCACCGAACCCATTCACATGTGGCTGTGTAGGAGCACTTCTGTTGCACGTTTGTCGCAGGACTGTGCCATCAACCTGGGTGTCCTCCTGCCTGGCGTCTTGCCTCACAAGAGTGGGGAGACCTCCAAGAGCGACGTTTGGAGATTTGCCCGGCGAAACTCGCACATGCGCAATCGCCAGGGCCTGAATTTCCTTGGAGGTCTAGTGTCCGTGTTGCAAGAGCAAGCAGCATGATAGGGCAGGTGCTGCTTGCAGTAGATGTGTGAATGGACAAAAGCAGCCATCATGCAGTAGTTCGGGGCCTGCTGCAGTTTCGGTTCGACCGGCCCAACAGGAAAAGGGAAGTCGCTGCCTCTAGGGATGGCCATGTCCAGCATGAACCGCCGCCTTATGGTCGCGAAGCTTGCAATTGCTTTGCTCGCGGTGCGTGTTCTCATGCCTTCCTTCGTTTCGCCGAGTGGCCCAAGTATCCACGCGCAAAGCCCAAGAAGGCAGCTAACAGCTGTGAGGGCTGAAGGAGAGGCAGAAGAAGACGGAGACATGCTTGAATTCCTCAAGGTTGAGCAGGACATTGAGCTGTCTCCTGAGGAGTACAAGATGGCTTTGGAGGCTGAGGTCGAAACCCAAAGGAAGAAGTACTACATTGGGGGTGTTGTTGATCCGAAGAATTTGGTCGTGCCGTGGAAGCCTGTCGACGAGGATGTGCTGGTGAAGGATGCCAGGAGGACCCTGAAGAAGAACGGGATCAGGGACCCTGCCGGTGGCGACGTGGACACCGAGTACGACGACAGCGAGATGGAGCTCACCCTGATCGACGACGACGTCATGCTGCAGTGGGCAGGCGGTGTTCCTGGCACCAAGGTAGGTTACATCATCGAGAGGAAACCATCAGGCAGCACAAATTACGAGGAGATTGCCACCTACGACAACATGAAGAACCCCCAGCTCCTGGCCAAGCCATACAGCGGGCATGAGTATTCCTTCACCGACTCCATGGTCGCACCCGGCAAGTACAGTTACCGTCTACTTGTCCGTTCTCGCGATGGATCCATTGATGTAGTGGACCAAAAGGAGATGCTGGTAGCCGACGCCCCTGGAGTTGACTTGAAGATCGCCTTCCCAGTTCTGGGCGCGTTTGTACTCTTCAGTGCCCTCTATGGCTTCAGCTTGGACCCGGGAGCTCAGCCCTAAATCAAAATGACATCACCGTTTGAAGCTTGTTTCGTGGACTTATCCGCCCCCATATCAACACTAGCTCGCATGGCCTGTGGCAGATAGAAGACAACCATTTTCTCCTCTCTGCTGAGACGAAAAAAGGAGGTGATTGCACTTGCAGGCTCAGTGTAGAGATTCGGCGCCTGAGGCCAGACAGATCCTGCACGCTGATCCCCCTCGTGTTCTGAGGTATGAACACCCCCGTGCTTGGCGAGTTACTGCTTTGTGGCTTGCCGGCAGCCGGGAAAGATGTCGTAACTGACGGCATGGGAGAACTCGTGGATCACTCGTTTAATGTTGAAGGTGCTTCATGTCTGGATCCCAAAAACCAAAAACAAGCGGACGACGGGCTGAGGCTTTCATTCATCTGCCGGAAGCTTGGGCAAAACCGACCGTTTTTTCGCTTGGTTGGAGGCACGCACCAGCCAATCGTTGAGATCTTTCCCATGAAAGCACCAGTGCCTCTGACAAGAATTTTAGTGGCACATCGCACTCATTCCACCTCTAAGCTATAAGCCTAATCTCTAGTGTAAGGTGTCCTGATGCGTCTAGAGTCTCCGAAATGTCCCCGACAGGCTCCTCGCAAAAGCGAGTCTGATCGGAGTCTTGGCCGAAGCTTCCGTGCCGAGCTGCCATGCAAAAAGCTACAGGGATTGCCGCTCTGGCAACTTCTAATTGTCAATGCTTGCTTGTAAACGAAAGCCTGGGGCACGATGGAGCTATAAACTCGCGAGTTGCAAGCAGTGCCGGTTGGCACGCACGTGGCGCTGAAGGAAAATGTACTACGAGCTAGTGCCGCGTGATGATGGATGCGGGACTGCTCTGGAGCCCGGCCCTTGTCAGCAAGGAGGAACGGAGGAACGGAGGAACGAGATTTTTTCAGTTAAGGCCGGTGTGGCAACGGCTTCCGGACGGAGCTCCCTTTCACGCTGAGCTCGAGCGCCTCCCGAAGGAGCAGGTGATACTGGCGATCCTCAAAACCCAGGACCGGACGCGAGACGAAAGGGATGCGTTGCCTGCACCTGCGACAGGAGCTGGCCCACGAGCAGCTGCAGTGGCCGCAAGTGCAGAGAAGTCTAGGCATTTCTGTTGACCCGACAACACGCAAAGACCGGATGAGACACACATTTCGACAGGCTTGGCAGAGAGCTTGGAGCTCGTGATGCATGAAGACGTGGAGCAGGTCAGCAAAGTGATCCACACGAGACTTGTTTGCAGACAGATCGGCCTGGTGATGTTTTCGAAAGACCCGCCGTTCATCAGCCAGCGCTGCCACAAAGGTTCGCACGGCAACATGTTATGCAACAGCCGTGGCATCGTGAGCAGCTGGACATCGGCTTGCTCATTCGGACGGTTTGTTTTGCAGTGAGTGTCGCTGTGCCACGCGCCAGACAATGCCTTTGCAGGAAATGGGTATGACGATCAGTGATGTTGTCAATGAACACTTGCAGGCGGCGAGCTGCCTTCCGTGTTAACTACTGTAGTACGACAGATTGTCCTGGACCGTGAATTAGATGACGGCTACATCTTGGCAGGAGGCAGTTTTCGCGCCAGAGGAAGCTGGATGCTCAATGCCAAACCTGGCTTCGTCTTAGCTTCATGCACTTGACATGGTTGATTGTGTTCCACTGAGGTGCTGCATTTGCTGCTGAACCAGGAGAAGATGGCAGATCCACAGCCCGAGCCGAAAAACAAGCTCGTGGCCACACTGTCCAAGATGTTTTCGAAGAATCTCTCGGACGCTTAGAGAATGTCTGATTTCAGCTCTGAAGCCGTCTCGCGTGCTACGTGCGCCTGACAGTCAAGAGCAGTTAGGTATATTTTCAACTCGTTTGTCTTTGAAGGCAGACGTGTTTTGCAATCAGCTCAGCTGAGTATGCAGTACTTTGTATAAGTAGGTTTGAGTATGCTTCGAATGTTTGAAATTTATCGTGGGAGTTATGGAGTTGCGCCACCACGACGCCACAAGACGCTCGTGTTGCATGGTTCGTGGTGCGGCTCTGCTGAACGGGACTGCCTCATTGTCGTTTTTTGACACAGCCGATGTGCATAGCACATGCGAGGCTGACGACATAGAGCAGCATGCCAGAGGCATATGACCCACCATCGGCAGTATTTGTTTCAAGAGACTTCAGTGTCCTGCAATCAGGTGCATCCTAGCAATGCCTAGCAAGGACATGAGCAAAGCGAGCTGGCAGGGAGCAGGTCACAGCGGCACAAGCTATGCGTTTTGCAGAGGTACAGACATTCACAGCCTTTCCAGTGGCGAGATGCTGTCATGGCCCGTGTAGTCGACGTGCAGCATCAACCAAGTTGATGCATGCATGACTTGCCCGGTTAGCTGCTAACCGTTAGCACATTTACTACTGATGAGCTTGGGGCTTTTCAGACGAATGTTGAGAAGCCTGAGAAAAATCGCAGGCAACAAGCCCCAGAAGCCGGCTAACTTCGCGCGAGAGGGCCAGACCGCTTAAAAAGCAAGCCAACTCATGTCCAGCACTCAGGCCCAAGCCGTCATGCTGAAACCCCTAGCACAGAGCTTGGGGCTTGGCCTGAAGACTAGAGCCGTTTGTGGTTGTCCCGGGATTCAGATGTGCTCATAGGGCGGGTTTGTCTTTTTTGGCAATCCAACTAAGCTGGCTTGTGTTGTTCTGCACGTCTGCAAAGAGTGACAAGCCTACGTAGTGTTCGATCTTTGTACTTATGAAGTGCCGAGCACCAGTTCAGTTCCTTTTATTCGCTTTTGTTCGAGTCCGTTACAGCCGAAGCTTGCGAAGGCCCGAGGAGTTCTTACAGCAGCCACGTAGAGACCGAAGCCATGGCCGGTTCGCAGAGTGAGCGTTCGGATGCCTTATGGGTTACCTTGCACACGGTCCTGAAGCTTCTCCGGAAGACCTCGATTTTTTCATGGTTCGCTTGACGGACGAGGACTTGATGACGCAGCTGGCCCCAAGGCATCGCAAGGCAGAAGCGCAGCCGGCCCGAAAGCGTCACAGAACGAGGAGGGCCCCCAAGTTATTCGCACCTGGCACGAGGGCTTCGACAAAGGCTTCGGTGGATGCTATGACGCCGCTGCCCTCTTCGAGTGGTGGAGCTGATCCGGGCACAGTTCCCCCGCACATGCAAATAAGGAAGACCATGGAGCTGTCCTCCACCTTTGCCGCCTCCAACTGTTGCTCCCTAGACTACTCCCATGGCACCGACAAGGAAGTGTCCGCCCAGGACTCGTCGTTTTCTACGACACCAACGACAGCACCTATGTCCGCTGATGATGCGATCGCCTTGATGATGAGCCCGCCGCCTGCCCCTGCTGCCTCGACGTACAGCGACACGGCAGCAGGTGGTCAGAGTCCGCCCAAGAAGGCCATGCCAAAGCAGCCGACGAATACCAGTTCGTCGGACCCCCGTGACAACCACCCAGGCAAGGGCCGCTTCTTCGTCTACTTCGGGGCCAGTTCGCAGCAAGGGTCGTAGACAGCGGCCGACACAGGAGCAGCACCGCTGGAATGGCGCAGACTTCCCCCAGAACTGCCCGGCTTCCTGCTGGTTCGATAGCGGCAAGCGCACGAAAAGATGTAGGCCACAGGAGGTCGTACGAGAAGCGCCATTGCACTCCATTTCATGCACAGTACAAGTTTCTGAACAGGGCCGGCCCAAGGGCGGCGACATAGGGTCTTTGTTCGGGGCTTCTTCCGGGTTTTGGTGTCGCAGGGCGCTTTCTTTTGGCCGGGAGTGGGTTCCGTTTCGGGTATATAGCTGGATGGTCGCGGCCTTACGTTCGCAGCTGGGCAACCTGTGGTTCCCGTCGAGAGTGTGACCTTCATTCGTGAGAAGCAAAAGTGGGGTCGCAGTCCGCTCGCGTGTCCCAGTGAACCGCATGTGGTCAGTGAGCATGAGCATGGGCATGAGTGATGTTTCGAGGAAAGGCTTGCGCGTCAGTCGTTCGTTCGCCTGCGTAACGGTAATACACCGGCAGTACCGCCGTTCACAAACCCCGGACGCGCAATATGTAAGTCGTAATAGAGCCGAGATATGGCATATTTCGTGTGCAGCCGGCCGGGGATCCTTTGCAAGCCTCGTCGCTGTTTTGCAAGCAACGGGCAACGCTTCCTTTCTTCGCGTCTTGAGTGAGGAGGGAATCACGTCCGCACGCGAGGTCCCGTTTGCGATCCTGGGTATAGGAGACGAAGCAGTTGATAGAATGACATTGATGCAATCTCACCCAGTTCGCAACACTTGCCGCAGTGACGTCCGATTCGCTAAGTCGTCACAGAGACCTCAAGAGAGCCGGTGGACAAAGTGGTCGCTGTTGGCTGCAGAAGAGACAGTTGCCGGTCTCGTCTCGGTCCGCAACTACACACCAGCCAAGTCGCCAGGTCAATCTTTGGACTAAGTCCGAAGATCACACCGGCCCGACAGATGTGGCGGCAGTCGACTCCATAGTTCGCAGAGTCGTCGCACAATGTTGGCAGAGCAAGGCAGCTCTCGTGCACAGTACGAGGACCAAGTTCGCTCACCATCCGTGCGAGAATGTCCAGAGTTTCGACTGGGTCTCAGTGTGCGGTCGCGGGTTCTATGTCGTGCCATCACTTGAGACACCCATCTCTCTGGCAGGCTTCTCGAAGTGCGCGAAAGTGTTTTCCTGAGCAGCAGCTTTTGCAGGACGGTGCTCGAGACGCCCAAGCTCACTCCTGAGTTCGTCACTCCCCTCTCGCGAAACAACCATGGATCGAGGCCTCCGCTAAGAGCCTATTCGTGGTGAGAAGGTCGAGTTGCGCTTGGGACCCGAACGAGCCCCCACCAAGTCCGCTACAGATTCCAGGCGACGAAGCCGAGCTCCACTTTCGATAGTCGACCAACCTTTCGTGGGCAGACGCCTTCCCGATCAACCTGAACCCATGCTTGGAACTCGCGCTCTTTCAAAAGAGGATGGGAGGTAAGTTATATAGCATGGAGACAATCGGTGGTCAATGACGCCGAGCTTTTCGTCGAAGGGCTTAAACACCATAACACGTTCAGGAGTTTTTGCAGACAGGCAACACGAAGTTCGTCGTCCAGCTCTTGGCGTTCGCACAGGTGCTGCAATTTCTCCAGTTTCCTGAGCGGCAGTCCGACGTCAGTGACCGGAAAACCGCAGCTTGGCTTTCGGGTTGGATAGCAAAGTCCGCAGCCCGAGTGAGAAGCGAATACTTTCGCTGTTCTTAACGAAGTCCGGCTTGTCTTGTTTGCACGTGTGCAAAGAGTGACAAGCCTGCGTGGTGTTCGCTCTTTGTACCTACGAAGTGCCGAGCACGAGTTCAGTTCCTTTCGTTCGGTTGTGTTCGAGTCCGTTACAGCCGAAGCTTGCGAAGGCCGAGGCCCGGGCCCGAGGAGTTTTCACAGCACCCACCACTGCCGCCCGTGAGCCGCGCTTTTCGTATAGAACGGAAGTCAGCGAGCTGGACACCGAGTGTCCCAGTTCGCAGACGGAAAAGCCACCCCTTGGCTTTCGGGTTGGAGAGAAAAGTCCGCAGCCCGAACGAGAAACGAATACTTTCGCTGTTCGTAACGAAATCCGGCTTGTCATCTAGGGAGGCTATATCAGGCTAAGGTAAGGGTTGAAACTCTGTGGGCCTTTCGCATCACATCCGATGGATCTGGCTTGGTCGAATACTTGCTGCCCGGAGCTCGAGGACCTCGGAAGTTGCAGCGTCATGCTTCAGAAGCTTGCAGTCAGCTCCAGCCAACACCGAGTAGATGCTCCAGCTTTCAGCTTAATTTTTTCTAGTCTGCACCCCATCCTCTGGTATATTCGCAACTGCACGCAGTCACACACATCGGCCACGACTCGCTTGGTTGGTTTCAGCGCTCGGGCCGATGGAGCACGCTGCCGGTGGATGCATTCAAGGAGGTGGCAGCAGATTTGTCAGATGTTGGTATTGCCATTGTGTTGCATCAGGGCAACCAGACACGACGGAAGCCCCAACATTGCAGCAAGTGTCGAACCTCGATGTGGACAGGAGCTTCATAGGCCGAACCGGCCAAATCAAAACTCCATATTGTGTGATACCAGGAGATCCACGTTGAGGTGCAAGCGCCAAAAGCCCTGTCGAGGTGCGGCGCATGGCATGACGGTGGTAATTTAGTTGCAGTTGCCTGGACATCTCCATGCAGTCTCTGCGTGATTAATTCAAGATAGTTACAGTAAAAACGCCTCTGCCGGGCCAAAACTTGTGCAAGTACTGTGAGTATAGCATCTCAGTGATGTTTTTGTGGATACAACCTCGTATGGAAGGTCTTGCCGGCCAGAGTATGCTCCCATCGGAGAAGTGGCGGAGGCAGGCTGCTACTTGCCATTGTCGCTCGAGGGCTGCAGCAGTCCCGTTTTTGCGTTTGCGGTGGCTGGGACGCGGCGGCTGGGGTGGGAATGGCTTGTCAGTCGCATAGAGTCCAAGGCCGGCAACAAACCAGGAACAAGGCAAGATAGAGACCACTGGTGGACAAGAGTCCCGAGAGAACATTCACAGAGACATCACATCCGCAGAAGTAGCCTTCGCTTGCGTTATTGATTTTTTTGCAGCAGAGACCCTGGGTTGCAGGGTGTCATGAGAAGTTCTCAGACTCTCACTGATTTCTTATTCCTTGTCCTGCAGGCCAATGTGGTCCTCTACAGCAAACTCATCTCGTCACTCACTGCCGTCGACTGGAAGGCAGCTCTCCAAAGCTGGAAAAAACTACTTCTTGCCGGACTTCAGATCCTTGGCTTCAGAAACACATTGCAGGTCCTGGTACCGGCAGTTCTACACTTTTTAATGTCCATCCCTAGCGGCCGTACGACTACTACCGCCAAGATTGCCGCTCTCAGAGAGTGTAAGGATATATAGCCAGCTGAATGTCATAAGCCCGATGTACCGCAAATCCAGCTGCACTCTCCGAAGGCGGACCGACCGTCCACAAGAGTAAACCGCCTAGGCACAGGAAATGCTGTCAGTCTGCCAAAATCTTGGCTCACTATTGCATGGCGCCAAGGAGCGACACGGTCGTGTGTGGCGCGGTAACAAACGCAAGTCGGCGCGGTCCATGGCAGCTGGCCATTCTTCTACATGGCATGCCGGGCCTTCAACAAACCGTTGAAAACCGTTGCGTGTTGGGTGTGAGCTGGGCCTGCTGCAGGTCATCTCGTCAGGTTCGTGTGAACGAGGCGGGCTACGACTGCTTCAGTAATGATGGGCGCCTGGGGCATCCTGGCGCGTCAAGCTCTCTGCGAGGTGACTTTCGGCGCGGCTGTTACCGCGTGTGGCCAGCCAGGATGGCCTTCGGGTCTTGAGATTCTGCTAGATTTGAGCAGCAAGAAGGCATCAGATTTGTGGCCTGCGGCATGCCGCGCTTTCCGCGCTTTTGTGACCGTTCAATATCCGCGGCATGTTGCGCAGGTCCGATCCAACCAGCTGATTACCAGCAGTGTCATTACAGGTAGCAGACGCAACTGGACGCTCGTGCTCCAGCTGTGGTCTCTGCTGCAGCGCGATGTGGCCCGGCTGGAAATAGTGGCCAGCCACTGTTCTGACGGAGAGCGAGGGGGAAGTGCAGTGCTCTGAGGCTACTCCTGATCAATTTTGCTTGTGTTCCACCACAAGCTCTTTGCAAGCGACGGACCAATGGCGACGAGCATTCTTCCTGCTGCTTGCTCACTGAAGGGCCACACTTGCAGAGTCTTTGGCCGAGCTGTTTTCATAAGGTTGACCAAAGCTCGGGTCACATTGATTGAACTTGGTGTGTTCTGAAGCTCGGCAGCACATCCAGTTGGGGTCGGTGGGCTGACAACCTGGTTGAACGATGTCAGAGGCTTCAATAGCGCTATGAGCTGTGCAGAGCCGTCGGCCTGGCCATCTACTTTGGGGCTACTAGCTGAATTACAGCTTCGAAGACTGACCAATACCGTGAGCTACAACTGTGGAATTACTTCGCTACCAAACGCCTTGGCCTCACTCAGTTTAGCGGGTCCCACCCGAAGCAGAGCGAAGCAGCGACCCTTGCTCTTTGCAGGCAAGCCATTGGCAGGCTGCTTTTGGCCTGTGCAGGCATATTCGGGAAGCAGGTCTTTGGGAAAATGAAGCAACCTACGTGCTCGCTTGTGGTTCCTGCGGGCCACTCTGGCAAAGTGCTTTGGCCTTCGTGCCGACCGAGAAAGGCACAACACGAAGCTTGAGTTCGGTAGTGAAGGCCTGCGAGATGGCCGCGGAATGGACCCAAGCTCTAAGGATGCTCGAGTCCTTTGACAACTATGGTATTTCAACGACGCAGGTCACACTCAACACAGCAGTGAGTGCATGTCAAGAGCCCTCCGTGTGGCCACGGGCTCTGCATTTGTTGTGCACTTGCTCTCAAAACGAGGCCGGGAGACTGCACATTGCAACGTAATGTTTGTGACGTTCTTTCTGTGTGTGTTTTGGAGCGGCAGGCGGCAGATGTCGTTACTTGGAGTGCAACACAGGCAGCATGTAGACTGCAGTGGATTATGGCCACGCTGCTCATGATAAGGTGGGACGATTTCTGTTGCATGGTTTCCTTGGCTGCTTGATGCTGTGGCTCACGCAGTTACGCAGTTGCCGAAGGATGGGAGATCACGCAGTGCGTGCTGGAGCATTGAGCTACGATGCAGCCGTTGCTTCCTGGACACATGGAAGCCACTGGCACATGGCCCATATCCTTCTTCGCAGGCGCTCAAGCCCTAGGTCCCTAGGTCTCTGCAAGATCCAGACACTGCTTGTGCCAGGATGACATCCAGGAGAGTGACAGTCTTGCCAGCCACGGCCTACGCTGCAGTTCACGCGGCTGAGCTGGCCAACGCTCAAGCTCCGCCATGGCTTCTAAGGCATGCTCACAGATAAGGGAGCACACCGCTAGACGTGTGCAAGTAGTATCACGAAAAACTTGCGAAGCAAGTTTCCGAGATAGTATACTGTTTCTCCTAAGTTGGATTCGTACATGCAGGTGACGCAGGCTCAGTCCAAGCTTGCGGCAGTTGCGCAGGCCCTGAGAAAAAGCTGGTTCCCGGGTGGTGGGGCGTCGGAGCATTCGGAACGGAACGCCTCGGCAGCAGCTCACGCAGGCGCTGTTTGCTCAAACTTGTTTGGGCTTCTCACTGTGATTTGCGGACAACGGTGGCAGCCAAGCTAGACAGACCAAAAGACTGACAGCAACACCTACCTAGCCACTGACACCTGATGCATGCCGCAGATTGCTTGTTAGCATGCAAGTGCAGTCGCCTTGAAATGCAACGACACGCCACTTAGCTCGGTCCACTTGCTCTGCTTGGATTGGCAATGGAAGTTTGCGTCACCACCCTGAGCGGTGAAAGTTATCAACTGCTAGCAGATCCCACCTGGGCATCGCGTGACCTGAAGATGGCGGTCAAGACCGCTTCAGGCAGGGACACAAGTCGTGCGTGCACGAAGCCCTCTGCGATAAAGCCTAGTTCGGCTTAATTATTTCAGCCAACTGTTTGTGTGCTCTAATGTGAGTCGGCGGTGTCGGCCCTTTTTGAAGCACCTGCGTGAAGGCAACCCGCTATTGAACTAGTCGAAATCATGTTCATGTCCTGCCACTGCACGTAGACAAACCGAGAGAGAGCACCTAACAGTCCAAACCTTTCCCAAGAACCAGGACCTGCTCATGTGTCCGCAATTCCTACTATACGGCGTCAGCACGATTGGCACCACAGACTGCACATGCACTCAGCACTGTGTGGCGGGAACACGCTTTTGAACGCGGAAACACGAGATGCAGCAAAACTATGCATACGACATCATACGCTCAATAAACACATGTTTGTTCACAAATGCACACACATACATACATATATATATATATGTATACACACCTCTTCACCTTTACCAAAAACATAACAACCCTCCAGCTAGCCCATTGGTTTGTACAAAGTAAAAACCCCAGAACTCACATCCTCGGCCTTGATCTTAACCCTTTTTAAATCCTGGGCCGAAGCCCTGTCCGCCCGGGTCTACCCTAAACAGCAGTCGGGCAGGTGGCGCTGGCACTGTGATTTCTGTTATCAGATATTTACGTACATACGTACATATTCACACACGGAGATATTCAGTCGACATTGAGTCGCTTGAATCTGACCGTTTTCCGATGAAGATCTTGAAGATGATGAGATTACCTAACAGCTCAACCTGATGCCAGCACGTTTGATAATGTACACGATATCGACTTGCCAGGTTTTTGGGTTGGCCTGGTTGCCATTGCGAATGCAGGTACGTCAACAAGCGTCCCTGGTGATATCCTCAGGACACTGCGGAGAGCTTTGTTAGATGGAGCTACACAGGCTTGCTCCATCCCCCTGCTTGTAAAATTGTGCAATCAACAGGTCCGGACCAATTCCCTTCGCTTAGAATCAGGGTGTACACACACACCCTGTATACGGGGGGAGATCGTCTTGTAATCATGGACCTGATTCCTGACTCAGGTCCTTGCGCGGAGCTTGCGCCAATCCTTAGTATGGTCGTCGTAGTCGTCGTCGGCGGGGAGAGGAGGGGAGCAAGCGAGAGAAGAAAGCGATAGTTCGGCTGACGGACGACCAGAAAGAGAGAAGAGGGGAGAAAGAGAGAGAAAAGATGACACTAGCTCAGCAGACAGACAAAGAAAACGACGCCGCCAATCCTTAGTATGGTCGTCGTAGTCGTCGTCGTTGCGGAGAAGAGGGGAGCGAGCGAGCAAAGAAGACGATAGCTCGGCTGACAGACGACCAGAAGGAGAGAAGAGGGGAGAAAGAGAGAGAAAAGATGACAATAGCTCGGCTGACAGGCCGAGAAGACCTCAAGCAGACGCACGCTCCAACATACACACAAAAAACGAAGCAAGTGCAGTACGAAGCCGAGATGCTACCAGATCCCATGAGCTGACACTGTTCAACGCTCCTATCCACGCCCCGACTGAGCACCATGAGACTCAAGGGGTCACTGTATGACGTTTTGGTCCGGAAAGCCTATCACCTGACCAATCGGGGCACCCTTCTACAGTTGGCCCCGTAGGAGCGATCGGGCCTATCACCTGACAAAAAGGAGGCCACTATACAGTGTGGTTCGCTCCATTAGCCTGTCCCAAAGGAGTACGGCTCTTTCGGTACTATAACGGGCCGCACAACGTGCCCTGGCAGTTCG